TCGCTTCGCATTATTTACGAGTAGGTATCAAGATACAAAACACAAAGACAATAAAATTTGTTTACATATTTCTTTTTTTAATTTGACTTATATAAAAATAACATAGATTTAACAATGCTAAAGAGATAAAAATAATCTAACTGAGTCACTCAGAAATTTAAATTTTAGTGTAAAATGTAGTCAGATAAAAAAAAATAAAGATAGAAAATATATAAAGAATCCGTCTACTAGAACTATAAAATTTCTTTCATAGTTTCATATTTTTAACGTGACGCAACGCAATAAAGTAAAACAAGTGTCTTGAATAATTGCACTCGTTAAAAGTTCTTTATCGTGTCCGTGCATAGAGAAAAAAAAGGAAAAAGACGATCTGCCATATTTTTTTAAATATAACACTTGAAAAGAACCTTAAACAAAGAAGCCCAATAAAGCCGCAGAAAATAAGAATTATAATAAAAGGTCCAACCACCTTCAAATAATAAATATTTTTTTTTTGTATTTACGATTTTATCACATTTTATTACTTTGTACGTAGTTTAAAAGTATAATTTAGGTAAATGGGGAACCTGCTACTTTGGCTCCCGCACAACACCTCAGGGAGGAGGGAGCGGCTGAAAAACAGCTCTGTGATGAGATATGTATCTCGTTACAGACAAAGCTGAGCCGTCTCCTTTTGTCTCAAATAGTTATAATGTTCTTTTGTTTTGGCGTGTATGTAACTGTTTAATTTTTAGGGGCAATAAACAATTATTATTATTATTTGGGGCATGTATATAGTTTACTCATCTGGTTGGGCTGTATAAATATATAATATTATTAATATTAATATTAATTATTATTATGGGGTATCTATAAAGTTTTCTCATCTGGTTGGGCAGTATAAATATATAATTGTAAATGAAAATAGTAAACATACATAAATATGAATAAAATAAAATAAATACATAAAAAATACATAAATATATAAAAACCCAACCAGATGGAAACCCTCGGCAGGAGAGACCAGACGGCCGAGGGTTAGGGGGAAAGGGAAAGAAACCGGCGGACGATACGGGCGGTATCGAGGAGCACCGCCTTCTGCATTTGAGCCTGGAGCGGTCCGTCACGGAGTCCCAGTCGCCTCAGATGACCCGGGAGGCTGACTGGGATTAACCCGTTCGCAGAAACGACCACAGGAATGGTCATTGTAGAAGCGTGCTCGTCGCGACCCCTGCCAGCCCTTTTCAGGGCTGCAATTCTACTAGCTGCGCACCCATGCCAACGAGGGTTAGGGCGTCCCCCCAAGGCGACGCACACCAGCTCTTCCCCGTTGGTGTGGAATGCAGCGCGCAAAGCGGCGATGGGGACCGCCACCCGTCACGCACAGCCCGACACGGCGGAAGGTGGAGGACGGAGTGCAGAGTTGGCACGTGGAATGTTAGAGGAGGCATGAGAGATAAGACGAATGAGTTGATCGAAATAATGAAAGAAAGAGAATTAGATGTCGTGTGTATGTCGGAGACCAAACGGAAGGGCAGTGGTACTGAAGAGCTCCCTGGCGGGGCGTTTGCTCTATGGTCCGGAGTCCCGGAGAGCGAGAACGCCTGCCAGGGAGTGGGGGTGCTGCTGTCTTCTCGGTTGGTCGATGTTATGACTGAATATAAGTTTGTGAACTCAAGACTTCTCTGGGTTCGCTTTAAATTGGGACTGACGAAGTTATTCCTTTTGGCTGTTTATGCGCCGGTGGCTTCGTCGTCCAGGGCTGAGCTGGAGGAGTTTTGGGAGAATGTAAGAGAAGTTCTAGATTTGGCTAGAGGAAACGAAAGAATTGTTGTATGTGGTGATTTGAATGGATGGGTTGGTACCGCTCGACCAGGGTACGAGTCGGTACTTGGAAAGTTTGGCGATAAAAGGGTTAATGATGCTGGCAAGCTTATACTGGCGGTGTGCAAGGAAAAGGGTCTTCTTGTGACAAACACTATGTTTAATCACAAGAAAATCCATATGTATACTAGAGAACGAAAGAATGAGAGAAGTATGATTGATTTGTTCCTGGTGGATGACCGACTGCGAAAACAGGTGATGGATACGCGAGTGTTCAGGGGTGCTGACCTGGGAACGGATCACTATCTAGTGATTACTAGATTTAGGGGTCTGTTCGCGGGTTGGCGCTACCGGACGGCAGTAACAGAACCACAGTCGGTCTGTCGCATCCGAAGCTGGAAGCTTCAGGAAGCGGATACTAGGGACAAATATCATGCGAGGGTAGCCGAAAAGCTTGACACCATCGATGGCAGAAAAGAATGTGTAGAAAGAACTTGGCAGAACCTTAGGGATGGAATGGTAAGTGCAGCGGAAGAAGTGTGTGGAACAATAAAAAGAGGCAGTAGTAAAAGAAGAGATGCATGGTGGAATGATGAAGTGAAAGAAGCTGTAAAGAAGAAGAAGAAAGCATGGTTAGACTACTTGGCCTCTAGTAATGATAAGGATATGAGAGAGAAGATGAAAGAAAGATATAGGCTGCAGAAAGTTCACACGAAAGCACTGATTGAGGAAGTGCGTGAAAGGAGTAGAATGGAAGCGGACGAAAGGTTGTCGCACAACTTTAAGGAGAACTCCAAACTCTTCTGGAAAGAGGTTGGAAGGACCCGAAGTGGTGCGACGGCCTTAAGAATGAACAAAGTGCTTTCGAGAACTAATGACGTCCTCTCAGAAAAATCGGACGTCATGCAGCGATGGAGCGAATTTTATAGAGAAATGTATGCGTGTGATGACCTTAGTGAGGGATCCGGGGATGACGCCGTGACTGGTACGCCAGACCCGGACCTCGATGACACTGAGGTCATCAGTATGAAAGAGATTGAACGTGCGATTCGAAGTTTGAAATGTGGTAAGGCTGCGGGACTAGACAGAGTTACTGCTGAAATGGTCAAGTATGGTGGGCCTCGCGTCTGGGACAGCTTTCATCTGCTGTGCAATTTGTGCTGGCAGACGGGGGATGTCCCGGATGATTGGCGATCCGCAGTCATTGTGCCTTTATATAAAGGTAAAGGTTCACATTTTGACTGCGGGTGCTATCGGGCGATCAGCTTGACCAGTTTAGCAAGTAAAGTTTACTCGAAGGTTTTGACACGTAGGATGCAAGAGAAATCGGAAAGATTTCTATGGGAGGCACAATGCGGATTTAGACCTGGAAGAGGATGCACGGATCAAATGTTTTCTCTCCGCATGATCACGGAGAAGCTTCTGGCTGCTAACCAGAAGATTTTCTGTGCTTTTGTGGATCTTGAGAAAGCATTTGATAAGGTTGTAAGAAAGAAAATGTGGGAACTGTTGCCGGGGTATGGTGTGGATGGTCGATTGCTAAGGGCTGTGCAGTCTCTTTACTGTGACTGTAAAGCCTGTGTGCGGGTAGGACATGACCTGTCACCCATGTTTGACGTCCAAACGGGCGTAAAGCAGGGTTGTGTCATGTCTTCCTGGCTGTTCATACTGTATCTCGACAGCTGTTTACAGAAGCTGAAAGATAGCTGTTTGAGTGTGAAATTGGGTGACATTAAAGTAAATTGCCTGTTGTATGCTGATGATGCAGTACTTATAGCACCATCAGAGGCAGAACTGCAGGCATTAGTCACGTGTATGAAAGAGGAATGTGAAACTAAAGGTCTCCGTTTGAATGCTAATAAAACTAAGGTTCTGGTATTTGAAAGGGACGAAGAGAGAACGAAGTGTGAAATATGGGTAAATCAGGAATGTCTAGAACAGGTAAATGAAATTGTATACTTGGGGAGTGCTTTTAGCCGGGATGGAAGATGTGATTTAGATGTGGACAGGCGTGTCGCTGCCGGGAACAAAGTCAATGGTGCCCTGACTGCGTTAGTCAAAAGGCAAGGCGTAGCGAAGAGTGCACGCCTTGCAATACATAACGCAGTGTTGGTACCGACTTTGTTATATGGCAGCGAAACCTGGGTATGCCAGAAGAAGCATAAAAGTAAGTTGAATGCAGTGGAGATGCGATCTCTTCGTAAAATGTGCGGCGTTACCATGGCCGACCGAAAGCGAAACGAAGAGATTCGCAATATGGCAGGTTTGAAAGATGACCTTATCACAAAAATTGATAAGGGCGTGCTTCGGTGGTTTGGGCACGTTGAGCGAATGAGTGAAGACCGAATGGTGAAGAAAATATATAGCGCGAAAGTTAATATTAAAAGGTGTCGAGGTAGACCGAGACTAACTTTCGAAGACCATGTGAGCAAATTGCTCGAAGAGGGTAGGGTCAAAAGTACTCGGATACCTAGACGTGCATGCATGAAGAAGATAATGAATCTGAAAGAAGCGAAAGAGGTTTGTAAGGATCGTGACACTTGGCGATCTGTTCTCTCTGGCTACCCCGTCAGGGATTGTGCGTGAAGATAAGTAAGTAAGTAAGTACCACAGGAATAATTTCGGTCGGCAGACCACCCCACATGCCCGTAACCTCGTGAGCCAGGTCCAGATATTTTGTCACCTTATCTGTTTCGGCTTTCACGAGGTTCTCGTCATAAGGAATGGTAATGTCGACCAAAAATCGCTCCATCAGCACAATATCAGGCTTATTCGCAAGAATAGTCCTGTCTGTGATGATGGCCCGGTCCCAGTAGAGCCTGGCGCGGTCATTTTCGAGCACGGCTTCCGGCAAGTACTTATAATACGGCAGTTTCCGATCCACGAGGTCGTATTTCAGAGCGAGCTCCTGGTGTAGAATCCTGGCTACTAGATTGTGTCTGTGCAAATACTCAAAGTTAGAAAGCGCCGAACAACCGGAGATGACATGCCTAAGTGACTCACCGGGATGGCGACAAGCTCGACAGATGTCGACGGCGCCATCCTTTAGTTGTAGTTTAATTATTATTATTATTACATTATCACATATATATTGTCACAAAACTATAATATTATAAATATAAATACAATCTATATAAATAATATTATTATTTCGGCTATTATCCACCGCGGCGAGGAATCCTAAGCCATCGGTGAAATTAGGCATCCAAAGATAGGAACCTTCTCACTATTCGAGCCGTATTTAATAAGGCCGATTTTTGAATTAATCCCTTCAGCCATTTGCCCAAACCCAACTTGGATAGATAGTCGTCCATAGTTTTACCAATAAGCCCATTGACTGAAACAACTATTGGTACAATAATAGTAGAATCAACGTCCCACATAGCGACAATCTCATGAGCCAAGTCGATATATTTTATCTTTTTATCATTCTCTGCTTTCACGAGATTCTCGTCATGAGGAACACTGATATCCACTATTATTGCCTTGCGTGCAGTTCGGTCTATCACCACAATGTCAGGTTTATTTGCCACTATAAACCTGTCTGTGATAATTGACCGATCCCAGTACAGCGTGACACTTCTATTTTCAAGGACTGGTTTTGGTTCATACTTATAATATGGAACGTCCTGTTGAGTAAAACCAAATTTAATCGCAAGCTGCTGGTGTATTATTCTAGCTACTTGGTTATGTCTGTGCAAATAGTCGCCATTTGATAGTTGTGAACAACCGGAAATAATATGTCTGAGGGACTCTCAAGGGTGGTGACATGCGCGACATACGTCAACTGTGCCATCCCTCAAAATGTACTTCCGGAAGATCGTTTATGTAGCAAAGGAACAGAGTTGGACTGAGAATACTCCCTTGTGGTACTCCGTAGTTGATTGGTCTTTCATCACTAAAAATCTCTCCTATCCTAACTCGTTGTGAGCAATTTGTAGCTAAACTTTAAAAAGTTGTTATTGTACATTTCTAATACTCATTTTTCAAGTTTCTCGATCAGTTTAGAATTTGAAATAGTGTCAAAAGCTTTTTGCAGATCAATAAAGATTGTGATACATTTTTTATTGGAGTCTAAGTTTTGCACAATAAATTCTGTAAAAATATGTACAGTACAGTACATACAGTGTCCGTAGTTGATTTACTCTTTCGAAAACCGAATTGACCATTTGAGAGAATTTCATTATCTTCTAAATATTTTATAAGTTTAGTGTTTATTATTCTTTCAAGGAGCTAAGATATAGACGGGTGTAACGATATTGGACGATAGTTAGTGATGATATCCCGCCTTCCGTTTTTAAAAATTAGAATTGTGATTGATCTTTTTAAAACTGTTGGAAAAAAACCTTCTTCTAGACACCTATTAAAGCTATGATTAAGTGGGGTGATAATAAATTCTTTAAGACATTTTAAAATTTTTGGCGTAATACCATCCCAACCGGCACCACAATCAGTCTTAAGATTAAGAATGAGACGACCGAGTTCTTCTTCACTTGTTTTAAGTAGGAAAAAAGACTTACTTTTGACTGTTACTGGACTTATAGTGGTAGGAAGAGGCAGAAGATCTGTTTTAAGCTTATTTGACAAATCAGAGCCTATATTTGCAAAAAAAAAAGTGTTTATAAAGTTTACGGAACTTAGCGGGTTATTTTCAATCTTGAAAATTTCAGCTGGTAGCTCTTTTGGTTTATTTAAGTATTTATTATTATTAACAACATTATTTAAGTATTTTTAACAACATTCCAAATTTTTTTTATTATCATTTCCAGCAGCTATCAATTAATTTCTTTCATAATGATTATTTTGATTTTTAATATATCATTACAAAAATTTCTGTATCTCTTCTCTTCAGACCGGCCACAGCCGCGCAGGCACTGCTGCCAAACAGCAGAAATAGGTAAGCGGGTGTTACCTACCCAGACAAACTTCTCGATAGAAAAGGAAATATACCTGTTTACTAGAATTCTAACCTCAGACTCAGGAGAATAAGTTACTTTAACAGCAGTAACTGACGTCTCAGCTATGCAGTTAATAATTTAAAAGTAAAAATTTTGTACAGCTGACTTCAATATAAATTATTAAAAATAACTCAAAAACTATAGGTCAGATCTTGATCAAATTCATATGGGACCACATATGAAGTACCAGCTTTGAAATAAAAAATGAGTCATCGACATCGGTTCACCGAGCAAAAAGTTATGAGGTAACACACATAAAAAACATACAGTAGAATTGAGTACCGTCTTCTTTTTGAAGTCGGCAGAAAATGTTGACGAACCAGACGAATTTCTAGATAGAAAAGGTGTATTACCATCTAATAAACTCCTGTTTACATAAATTCAAACCCCACACTCGTGAGAATAAAGTCAGTTACTCTAAAATAATTCAACACAAGCCCTTCATAAGTCCACTGCATAACACAAGACTCCCCCAAATAAGGCTACAAAGCACGGTTCTGGGCCACCTGCATTCATCGACTTCCCGCATGTCTTACCAGTTCGACACTCCATATAATGGAGGGCCGCTCTACACTTCGCCTACCGGAATGAGGCTGCAAATCGAGAACATTCTTCCCCATCGGTTGTCGGTTCTTGGAGCTATATGGCCGGCCCATTACCACTTCAGCTTACTAATCCATTACAATCCAGCTATGTCGGTTACCTCCTTATTTCCAAGTCTAACACAAATATAATATAAATGATCTGCTCATTCCCGGTATCTATGGGTATGCAGACGACAGCACAGTTGTCGAAAGATATCAACCAAGCGCCCGGGCCTATCAGGATCAAATCCAGTCAGAAAGAGAGGCTATGGTTGAGCGTATGAGTCTCACACTAAAGGCAGTCTCTGAATTGGGCGATACCAATGTCGTGAGATTTAACGTCTCCAAAATACAAGCGTGTTTTTTATCGCTAAAAGGAGCCCGCTCACCTTGGCTTCTACTATCCGGAATGTATCCTTGGAGTACACTTACCACCTTCAGTTGTTAGGGATTGAATTTTCTCCTAACCTCAACTATGGGCGGTTCATTGAGTCCAGAGCCAAAGTAGCCTCAAGGAAACTTGGTGTCCTTGCAAGGGTGCGACTGTACTTCACGCTGAGGTAGCTTAGTACCTTATATAAAGCGCAAGTCCGGTCAAGCATGGAGTACTGCTGTTACATATAGGCTGGTGCTGCAAAATTCCTCCTGGCAGCATTGGATTTATTGGAGTGACGTGCTAAGAGACTCCTTGGTGACCTTGATTTGGTTGAAACCAATCTTGTCAGCCTCTAGCACAGACACAGATTAGCCAGTCTCTCGGTATTCTATAGGATGCATTTCGGTGAGTGTGCGCAGGAATTATACGCCTTAATTCCTCCCTCTCCTTTCCACCATCGGACAACCAGACTGTCGTCGGGTCTTCATTCTTTTGCTGTCGATATTCCACGCATTAGAACCATACGGTTTGCTTTGTATTTTGTAATGCGTACAGCAAAAAGTGGAATAATTTGCCGGCGTCTGTCTTTCCGTCCGAATACATTCTGGGCGTCTTCAAGGCAAGAGTGAATAGGCTTTTGTTACGATAAGACAGTGCGATTTACCATCTAAAGCTGCATGCATCACCACTTACCACCAGGTGTGATTGTGGTTAAGTACTGGCTTATAATAAGTAAAAAAAATACATAACAGACATAAAGGCACTTAAATGACAGCTCCGTGGCGCAGTGGCTTAGCAATCAGTTGTTGCGCTGGGCGCCGCGGGTTCGAATCCCGCACGGAACAAGTATTTGTATGGCCTACAAATAATTGTTCCGGGTCTGGATGTTTGTCCTTGTGCAATTTATGTTTGTAAACTGCCTCCACGACACAGGAGAAAATCCTAGTGTAGGGGTAACGTTTTTTTTTTTAAAATAAATAAATAAATAATATATAGTCATAATATTTTCAAGGACCTAAAGCTGTATGAGAATAAAATTATATAGTGCTTACGCGGTTAATTGTACGAGGGTTAAATAATGGTCAGCCCACGCGATGCCTCGCCCTCATCAAAAACGTTCCGCATCACGTCTCTCCCAGCTTCCAATGTAGCTCTTAAGTTTAATTAATACTCCTACAATATGAATTACTGCCTAAAATTGACAATAAACCATTAATAATTCGAAATTTCCAGATTACTTGTACGTTTTTAATGGTTTTAAAGATTTTTCATTTTATTAGTATGTCCAGGCAAATATAATGACATAGATTCTTCGTTGCTTTAGAAGATACTGGCTAACCTTTAATTCAAGCCTTTGTTAAAAAAAAAAAGAAATACTTTCAGTGCTTTTTTTTTATGAATGGCCCCGTGCCGCAGTTCTGCAGTTCGGTGCTAAGTGCCGCGGCCCCGCGGGTTCGAATCCCGCAAGGATTAAGTATTTGTATGACATACAAATAATTGTTATGGGTCTGGATGTTTATCCTTGTGAAATTTATACATATATGTAAACTATCTCCACGATACGGGAGAAAATCCTAGTGTGGGGTAACGTTTTTTTAATAGAAATAAAAATTAACATTATGTTTCTTAAATTTAGAAGGAAATGTTACGTAATTCAGTGTTAAATAACAAACTATCGTTTCGGACTATCGTCTAAGAAAATTAACCCTAAATTGTCCTGAACAAACAGACACAGTTACCTAGTTACAAACTCTTATTAACTGGGCATCGAAATGCTAACAAAATAGATAATATCCTATATTATACTGTAACCCATATTAAACATTTATTATACTTGTAAATGTGCTCCAGACCAAACTTCGGTCACGACTAGCCTGGTAGTACAATATATGTAATGTATGGAAAACAAGTATTTAAAGAATATTTAAATATAATATGTAAACTTCTATACTAATATACAAAGTTTTGGATAGTAAATTATACTCACAAATTAAACTTATAACTAATAAAGGTTAAAGAAAGAAAGTACTTCTACACCTACATTTTTTCAGCATCGTTTCTCTCTTGGCAAGGGCCTCTCACGAAAATTTTCCAGTCCTGTCGTTTTTTTTTGCGAAGAAATGAATATTCTTCGCTTCGCATAACTTACGAGTAGGTATCAAGATCCAAAACACAAAGACAATATTTTTTTTTACATATTTCTTTTTTTAATTTGACTTATATAAAAAGAACAGAGATTTAACGATGCGAAAGAGATAAAAATAATCTAACTGAGTCACCCAGAAATTTAAATTTTAGTGTAAAAAGTAGTCAGATAAAAAAAAATAAAGATAGAAAATACATAAATAATCCGTCTACTAGTACTATAAAATTTCTTTCATAGTTTCATATTTTTAACGTGACGCAACGCAATAAAGTGAATCAAGTGTCTTGAATAATTGAACTCTTTAAAAGTTCTTTATCGTGTCCGTGCTTAGAAAAAAAAAAGGAAAAAGACGATCTGCCATATTTTTTAAATATAAGACAGAAAATCGAGTCCGCTCAACAATGGACACCTGAAAAGAACCTTAAACAAAGAAGGCCAATTAAGCCGCAGAAAATAAGAATTTTAATAAAAAGTCCAACCACCTTCAAATAACTAAAATAATGAAATAATTTCCGCATTATTATTACTCCAGAAGTTGGTGCTAAGATAAAGTGTTATTATTAAAGCCTATAACAGTCCACTGCTGAACATAGGCCTCCCCTATAGATCAATTCATAAGGGCAATTTTTCCAAAGTTGCCACGCTTGGCTGACGTCTTGGCAACTGCAGTTTCTATTTTTTCAATTTTTATTAAGAAAATTCTGCTGCTAATTTTCTGCTTTGTTTTCCTCTAGAGCTTTTTACAAGAACTACAGATCAATATGGGGTAGTGAAATTTCTTACGTCTCCACTACACCGTTGAAGCTGTTATGTGGAAATTGTTTTATTCTTTTTTTTGGCTGTTTGAAGTTGGCTTTTATATTTTATTACGTCAATTTTTTACCTTTTTTTTGTAATGTTCCTTCGTCCTGTGTGGACAAAATTGTTTGTTATTAAAATAACTCAGAAGTGAATGTGACAGTGAGTGTTGTAATATTCCTTCACTTCACTTGGAAGGGAAAGAAAAATTTACCTCAAAGCTTCGAGAGTATTTCGTTCAAGCACATCGCTATTAACTTTACAAGGCGCAAGTTCAGCCTCACATGGAATATTGTTCTCATCGCTCGGCCGAGGCACACCAAAGCCAGCACTTAAATGCAATAAACAATATCTACATCAAATTGTACGATATTCTAGATTGCCACTTTGTGTTTGTAATGTTCCTTCGTCCTGTGTGGACGAAGGAACATTACAAAAAAAAAGGTAAAAAAATTGACGTAATAAAATATAAAAGCCAACTTCAAACAGCCAAAAAAAAGAATAAAACAATTTCCACATAACAGCTTTAACGGTGTAGTGGAGACGTAAGAAATTTCACTACCATCTCTGTCTGTGGGCCATAGCAACCACTTACCATCAGCTGGACTGTGTGCTCGTTTGTCACCCTATCCTATAAAAAAATCCGTTTAGATGCGGTAGAGCCACGCGGCAGCTTTTGCTGTCGCACGGATGGGCCGGCTCGAACCGCGGTGGTACCACGACCTCACAGAAAACCAGCGTGAAGTAGAGGTTTACCTCTGCGTTTCGCTTGGTGAGTGCAGGTGGCCGGAGGCCCTCTTTACTGGAAATGAGGCATTCCATCTTAGTCCTCACGGGTGACAATGCATCTACATATTGATTTGTAATAGAGGATAGATGTAGATGTGTATGGGCCACAGCAACCACTTACCATCAGGTGGACTGTGTGCTCGTATGTCGCCCTTATCCTATAAAAAAAAGTTAGCACACACCGATAAAGCAGTCTCTCATCTCATTTTTCTCCGACTCAATTTTTATAAATATGGTGATTTTACACAGAATACAATTTTTATCACCACGAAACGAAGTCTATGTCGCTTGGTAATAGCACAGAATAATAATAGTACACGAACAGAAGGATCGCTCTCTGATACCAAACTTACGATTTTTAACCTAGTTACAACGTCGCTAATGTTCGTAATACTTTGCACGTCTCGGACACGACCTTCGCCAATTTAGCCTACGAAAAAAAAATTAATGTGCGCTCGTATTAAATCAAAATGCACTTTACGTCCGCGTGCGAGAGTCTGTTTAACTTAGCTCGTCACGCACCTTTGTTAAGGCTGCACCTGCAATTAACGTGGTAATCAATTTTACACGTGGTAGAGCCATGCTGCATCTATATTATGGTTGTAGCACGAATGGGTCGGCTCGACCGGGGAAGGACCACGCTCTCACAGAATACCAGCGTTAAATAGCAGCTAAATGCTTTTACTGGTGATGATTTAGATGTGGGCTACAGCATCCACATACCATAAGATGAACTGTGTGCTCGTTTGTCGCCCTTATTATATAATAATTAAAAACTTTTTTACTCAAGAAATACGTTTGTTCTTTACGCATAAGATTCTCTCCAAAATCCTAATGATTTTAAAATTGTTTGTTATTAAAATAACTCAGAAGTGAATGTGACAGTGAGTGTTGTAATATTCCTTCACTTCACTTGGAAGGGAAAGAAAAATTTACTTCAAAGCTTCGAGAGTATTTCGTTCAAGCACATCGCTAGTAACTTTACAAGGCGCAAGTTCAGCCTCACATGGAATATTGTTCTCATCGCTCGGCCGAGGCACACCAAAGCCAGCACTTAAATGCAATAAACAATATCTACATCAATTTGTACGATATTCTAGATTGCCACTTTGTGTTTGTAATGTTCCTTCGTCCTGTGTGGACGAAGGAACATTACAAAAAAAAGGTAAAAAATTGACGTAATAAAATATAAAAGCCAACTTCAAACAGCCAAAAAAAAGAATAAAACAATTTCCACATAACAGCTTCAACGGTGTAGTAGAGACGTAAGAAATTTCACTACCCCATATTGATCTGTAGTTCTTGTAAAAAGCTCTAGAGGAAAACAAAGCAGAAAATTAGCAGCAGAATTTTCTTAATAAAAATTGAAAAAATAGAAACTGCAGTTGCCAAGACGTCAGCCAAGCGTGGCAACTTTGGAAAAATTGCCCTTATGAATTGATCTATAGGGGAGGCCTATGTTCAGCAGTGGACTGTTATAGGCTTTAATAATAACACTTTATCTTAGCACCAACTTCTGGAGTAATAATAATGCGGAAATTATTTCATTATTTTAGTTATTTGAAGGTGGTTGGACTTTTTATTAAAATTCTTATTTTCTGCGGCTTAATTGGCCTTCTTTGTTTAAGGTTCTTTTCAGGTGTCCATTGTTGAGCGGACTCGATTTTCTGTCTTATATTTAAAAAATATGGCAGATCGTCTTTTTCCTTTTTTTTTTTCTAAGCACGGACACGATAAAGAACTTTTAAAGAGTTCAATTATTCAAGACACTTGATTCACTTTATTGCGTTGCGTCACGTTAAAAATATGAAACTATGAAAGAAATTTTATAGTACTAGTAAACGGATTATTTATGTATTTTCTATCTTTATTTTTTTTTATCTGACTACTTTTTGCACTAAAATTTAAATTTCTGGGTGACTCAGTTAGATTATTTTTATCTCTTTCGCATCGTTAAATCTCTGTTCTTTTTATATAAGTCAAATTAAAAAAAGAAATATGTAAAAAAAAATATTGTCTTTGTGTTTTGGATCTTGATACCTACTCGTAAGTTATGCGAAGCGAAGAATATTCATTTCTTCGCAAAAAAAAAACGACAGGACTGGAAAATTTTCGTGAGAGGCCCTTGCCAAGAGAGAAACGATGCTGAAAAAATGTAGGTGTAGAAGTACTTTCTTTCTTTAACCTTTATTAGTTATAAGTTTAATTTGTGTATTAGTGTAGAGAACCGGAGACCCTTTTTACTGGAAACGAGGCATTCCGTCTTAGTCCTCACGGGTGACAACGCATCTGCATTTTGACTCTTAATCGAAGATAGATGTAGATGTCTATGGGCCACAGCGACCACTTACCATCAGGTGGACTGTGTGCTCGTTTGTCACCCTTATCATATAAAAAAAAAACTATATGTAAGCTTCATTTGTAGTATGTGGATAACTGTAATTGGCCAAACATGACTGAAATTATTATGTAACACATTTCAGTTTTAGTTTGTTGCCTTATAAAATATTGATAATAATAAAATTACAAGGAAATATTCTATTTGACTAACTTAAACGTGCCTGTATTAACTAAAATTACGGCACACGCTTCGATGATTTAGATAAACAAATAATTTTAAAAAACAAACCTATTAAGCGAGCACTGTTAATTTTTTTCTCAAGTAATAAAAACTATATTTCTTACGACACAAACTATGATGGATATGTCGTGTCAGTTTTGAATTATGACGTATCGAACAGAGCTTCATGATACATCGCGAGCTTGTCCTCCATAAGGTGTTACAAAGTGTCAAATTTTATCTTGTATATTCTTTAAAGTGATATAAAGTAAATGAATACTTTGTTGTTGCTGTAGCTTATGCTGACTTTGTTACCTTGCCTTACTTTTTGTCTTGAATATTTTATGTTGTATTATCTTATAGCTACCAATTAATATTCTTTCTTTTTTTCTGTATTGAACAGCATTTACAGTGTTACTAGTTTATATTATAGTAGTCGCGATCCCGTGACGGAGTTGTTATAAATATTATCTTCTATCTGGGAACCCAGTAGGAATTTAAAGTGGTCCATTTTGAAGGGGCAACACGGACAGAAAACCTGTCCAAGTTTCGTTAAGATGATATAGATTCTAATGAAAATTTTACGTTACATTTTAATACTCAAATTTTGTTGAATGTGTTGTTTCATAAATAGCTAATAATTAATTGTAAAGTGTTGTCAGCTCAATACCTCGCTTCACCTGCTGTCCATAGACGAGTGACGTAATAACGCAATAGTTAAAAATTTGCCCGCGTGTTGTAACAACCTACTTAAATTCCATAACTGGACACAAGCCTCCACAAATCTGAAAGGACTTTAGAGCAAGAAAGAGCCACAGCGCTGCTCCGACGCATGAAAGAGGACTTGAAAAAGTCCTGTCATCATCACTACCATCACAGCCTATGAGAAGGCCATTGTTAAACATAAACATCCTCCATAGATTGCCTTGTAAAGAGGATGTTTGCCATAGTTGCCAAGCTTGGCAGGCGGGTTGTTAATCGCAGTGTTTTATTATTTTGATTTTTTTGTCAAGAAAACACCGTACATTTTATAGAATTTTAAATATTGTATTTAATAAAATATTAAAAAGTTTCTTGAAGAAATAAAAGTAAAAAAAAGTAAATACAATCATAGTTTAATAGTCCTAGAAGTGAATAAAAATATAATTTTTAATAAATCAACCAAGGACTCGGCAGCAAAACGTAACAAAAGTATGCCAACAAAAAAAACAGACTTTCACGACTTCAAGTTACCTAAGTGCTATTTATACGCAATAAATGTGTACAGTGCCTGAAGATTAGTGGAATTGTTTAGAAATAATACTTAAGGAGATGGCGACTCAATGTGCTGGTTGTCGACAAAAAATCACAAGTCGTGAATATCTCACCTGCGCACTATGTAACAAAACATATGATATCGATTGCGCCGTTGTATCTATTCAGCGATACTTAAATATCATGTCGCCAACACGTAAAAAGAAATGGAAATGCCCCGCTTGCTTAAGCAAAGCCCCTAAAGGAAATAATAGCAACAAACCAGTGTGTTCGCATGAAAATGAAGAAATATAATATAAAAGTATATCACCGGATATAAATAATGTAACTATTAGAAGACAAAATACCAATCTCAATGAAACTTTGGACTCTACAGAATGCAACTTACTCGGCGACACTATTTACACCCAGAATACTTCACCGGTAACAACTACTTCCCAAACTCAATTGACTCTACAAAACTTTAGCGAATTAATAAGTTCAAGACTGAAAGAAAATAATATTTCCATTATTAGAGATCTACAAAATACAATACAATTGGAGATTGATAAAGCGATTCTCAAATTCAAAGAGGATATACTACAACAAACCCCTACTTTGTACAAGCAGACTGAAACATTAAACAATGTCATTCAACTTATGAACACTCAAATAGATAATTTTAAAAAAGAAAATACCATCCTGCGAAAAGAAATACAAAGCATGGAAACGAAAATCACATCACCTGAAAAGCAGTCTAAGTTATAAATTAATAGCAGAAGGTTGATAATTTATGAATTCGGCGAACGATTTAGAGAATCAGAATACGACTTACATAGTAGAGTCATTAAAATGTTCAGAGAAACAAATAATATAAACCTACTTGGATATATAGAAGACACTCACTGGATAGGAAGAAACAATAACAAAAATAAGCCTTTAGTAATAGAGCTACTCGATTAACGAGGAGGGCGCTGTGTGCGGTGTAAACACATTAGCTCCGTACTTAAACTGAATTTAAAATTTGTTATTTAAGTCAAAACAAGTAAAAATTTGTGTTATTAAGTGAATATAAAAGTGGTTAAGTTAGACAAGTATTAGTGTAACATCAGTGTGAAAAGGAAAACCTTTAATTTCAGACTTACATATGTAAGTGTAAACATTGAACTTTATAACCATAAATATGATTTGATAGTCAAAGTGAAGTAACTCCACATTAAAATTTCGCTATAAAGACACTTATAAAATACAAGGAAACTAAAAAAAATGGTGAAAATAATCGATTAACTGTATTTTCAAAATTATAACCTATAAAATTAAACAAACGAACAATACGTTGAGTCATTTAAAAACAGTTTATCAAGTTTACGCCATCTATTGTTAATTAGGAGATCTTACGGGTAAAACCCACCTAGCGGAATTTAAAGATACTACTACAAACTGAACTGAATCAAACACAATCAATAAAAAATATAATAACTTGACACAAGAGGTCGCTTAATAATATCCAAATAAATAAAATCACTTATCAATATGGAAGAAATAACAAACATGCTAAAGAAAATGCAGGATGATATAACGGAACAAAGAAAAGAACTAAAAAGTTTACAAGAAGATATTTCAAAGCCTATCATTGAAAATATGAACTTAAAATTTAAAGAAATTATGTCAAAAAATGAAGAGCTCCAGCTCTTCCTCCAGGAAATTATCAATAACCAACAAATTGCACTAGGAAAAGATAGAAAAACAAATAAGGATGAAAAACAATTTTATTTGGGCTAGAGGAAAACGAAAAAAGTTATGAAAATTTAGAAAATAATATTATTAAATTTTTAAATGAACACTTGAAATCCAATTGTACCTTACAAGATATAGAATCAGCCTTAAGACTAGGTAGGAAGGGAGAAAAACCTAGACCAATTAAAATTACTTTTTGTAAATTAAGCCTTAAAATAAAAATTTTAAAAACAAAAAAGCGATTAGACTGTACTAACTATTATATTAAAGAAGATTTTACACCGCATGTAATGAAAATACGAAAAGAACTCCAGAGAGAAGTGGACATGGCTAGAAGTCAGGGTAAATATGCTGTGCTAAGACGCGACAAAATAGTCTACTTAGGTACGAATAAAGACAGTTTAATATATCAAAAAAGAAAACTATCTAAATCACCTTAAGCCACCAACTCTATCGCAATACAACAAAACAGACAATCACTCTCACACGCGCATCGAACTTTTAAGAAGAGTAAAGTCGATATGAGAAAATGTTTTTTATCAAAAGAAACTGAACTAGACTCTCCTCCCACTTCTTCTACAAGTTATCAGCACGAAATTCACGGTTCTCAGTACGAAATCAAAACGAACAATAGCAACCACCTGTCCCTCCTCCAAAATCAATAACCATTAACAAAACTTACATTTACTCTCCCAACACGGTTGGTCCCCGTGGGAGTAGTAGACCACAACCCTCCATATGTAATAGATTAGGCCTTCACCCGCAAATAGGTACCCAAATAAATAAGTAAAAAATATAACAATGATAAGTAAAAAAAAAGTAATAATTTGAATACTATGTAATCATAACTAATCTGCTGCAAATTGATTTTCATAACATGTTATAATTAACCATTACATATTTTATTATTGTTATTATTATTAATAGATTTAAACTGTTTAATTGTGTAATCTCATTTCATTATTTTATATTTGATAATTATAAACTGTAGTTAATTGATATTTGATATTAATGATATTATATAATGATTTATTGAGCATAATTTATAAAATGTATTCTAAATTCTGGCAAATTTTATATCTAAGTGTTTATTGAAGTTTTATTTGAAGCATGATTGGTTTTGTAAATGTAAATGAAATTTTGTTAAATATTCAATTTTATGTAATCCTTTTTTGGGAAATAAAGGCTTAAATAAATAAATAAATAAAATAGAGCTACTCAGCAAAATAATGGCTAAATACATACTCAAAAATGAACACTTCTTACACGGCACTAGATTATCAATCACTGAATATTTAGAACTTGCAGAGTTGAAAGAAAAAAGGCCATGCGAGAACAAATAATGAATGCACGAAAAAATGGACTACATGCCATTATAAGAAATAAGCAACTTATTATAGAGAAAAAACCCGTAGAGTGGAACTTGTAAAATAAAAATATGAATCGCACTGTTGACAGTACGAGTGTAAAAATAATCCAACAAGAAGCACTATCAACTCAGAGCTAACAGAGATCACCAAAAATTAACAATATTCAGACATTTCGGAAGCAAGTTGACATCATTTAAAGTACTTTACCAAAACTTTCAAAGCCTCTACAATAAACAACACCAATTGGAAACATTTACAACCCAGGATCCGACTTACCAAGCTTTTTGTATAACAAAATCTTGGTTAAATTAGGTCAAATTGGAGCTTATTAACCTTACCGGATATAAAATAGCAGCATCCTACTGCCGAAAAACAAGAGGAGAAGGCGGCGTGTGCATCTTACCCCAAAATCATCTCGAATAAATTGAAAAAAACTGATATAGCAGATATGTCAATAGAATATATATTGGAGGTGTGTGGATTAGAGTTACCCGGAGGAAATATATTGTTAGTAGTTTTATATTGGAATAGGAGAGAGGAAGGAATATTCTATGAGCAATTGCAAAAAATATTGAAATTCATTGATAAAAAATACTCAAAATATAAAGTTATTCTTGGCAGCGATTTTAACACAAACGTCCTTGATAATAATTCTAAAACATCTCAGTTATTAAATACTATGTCTGAATACAACTTATCTCAACATATTAAAGACCCTACACATTTCACACAAACATCATCAACGTGCTTAGATTTGATTTGTACGAATTTTGATAAAAATAAATTACTGACAAAAGTTGAGGAGTTGGGATTTTGTAACCATGCTGCAACCACCATTCAAATAGAGTCACAATCACAAACTAAGCAAATAACTTGGTATACTGAGAAACGATTTTACAACTTAGCTAATATAGAACAATTCAAACTAAATTTAAAAAAAATTCATTGGCAAAATATATAAATGAAAACTATACTAAATTCCATAATATTTTGACAGATATTTTAAATAAATGTGTACCAAAACGTAAACTTAAACTAAAAACCATTAATAAAAAATACTGACTAACTACTGGCATAAAAGAATCTAAAATACTAACATCTAAATCAAAAAGTCTAATTTTACATAATAACTATAAAAGATATGAAAAAATACTTAAGAAAACAGTAAATATTTCAAAAAAAATACATTACATACATAAATTTAAAAAAAATCCCCTAACAAAGTTAAAACAATGTAGAATATTATAAATAAACGTACAAATAAAAGCAATACTAGAGAAAACAACAGTATATCACTAAAAATAAACAATACCATTACCTCGGAGCCATATAAAATTGCAAATGCATTTAACACTTACTACGCGTCCATTGGTGAAAGTAGCCCTCAAACAGCAACTGGACGCCCTGTCCTGAGCCCGACAGAAAATACCTTCTTTCTCAGCCCAGTCGATTTTCACGAAGTAAATAAGACACTAAAAAGCCCACCTAGCCACTAAAAAAATAAAACAAGTTTTGGAATAGACGAGCTTCCACCTACTTTACTCAAACAATGTTCCTCTGAACTGGCTTTACCATTCAGCATGCTCATAAATCAATCGTTTGACGAAGAAGTTTTCGCAGACCTAGTTAAAAAGGCAAATATAAAACCTATATATAAAAAAATGATAAAAGTAACCCCAGCAACTATCGTCCAATAGCCCTGCTACCTTCACCTTCTTAAATCTTCGTGAAAGTAAGTGTGCAAGCACGTATATAACTCCTATGAAAAGTATAATATTTTTGATAATTGTCAAAATGGATTTCATAAAAAATGAACAACAACATTAGCGGTTTACAAATATATTCAGGAAATCCTTAATATAATTAATAATAAAAAATACGCAATCGGTGTACTACTAGACATGTCTAAAACGATAAAGTTCAATTCAAAATTCTTCTTAACAAACTATATGGTATAAGGATCCGTGTTAAAGCATACGGATGGTTAAAATCATATTTACAGAATCGAGAGCAATTCGTTAAAATAGACCACTTCAATTATGAAACGAACGAAAAAAAAATCAGTACGAATAGACGGAAAAAAGTGTAACGCATCAATATCTCAAGGGCGTGTTCTGGGCTGCCTGTTATTTATAATCTACATAAACGACCTCCCCAAAATTATAGAAGAATCCTGTGTGCTGTTGGCCGATGATAACTCCCTGCTTA